ACTCACATAACTACTGTGGTCCCCACCTCCTATCTAACAACTAACATAAAACATGTACTCAGAAAAACATCATAAAACTAATTAATCTTCAACAATTTTATTAATATATTACATACTATATATTATTTATATAGTTATAATTTATATAATATCTTATATATTGTATATATATGTGGGTCGTGCTAGCCTGCGGGCCACGGGTGGCATGACACAACAGTGCAAGCTGTGCCGGCTTGGCCCACTAACCTGAAACCCCAAGCCCGGCATGGCCTATCTTCCCATACAATCGTGCTGGGCCACAGCACGGCCCATGGATCACCGGGCCAGACCGGGCCCACTCAAAATCGTGCCAGGCCATGGGCAGCACGGCCTGATTTACGCCTCTATGCACACATCTTCCTTCTATGACTTGCATGGTCGTCCATCTTCTTGGGAAAATCATGTTGTAGTTGAGGATGACACAAGTATGAATGATGCTACTGATGAGTTGCCTGTCTCAAGGATTAGTAAGAACAATGAGCTGGTCTCCATCACTCGTGAGGAATATGAGAGACTTCATCAAACCTATTCTTTGCCTTCCAAGTCCACTACTACCCTTGCTAAGTCAGGTACAACTTGTTTAGTTTCTAGATCTAACTATTCACCATGGATAATTGACCTTGGAGCTTCAGATCATATGATTGGAAAGTGTCCTTGGCAACCATCTCTAAGTCGGCTTCCCCTACACACCTAGGCTCGACAACTTCTTAAAATGAAACTTCTCATTGAAAAGTGTCCTTGCTAATATTGCTATTTAGTTCACAGATCTCCTAATCCATTGACTCCTCTGTTGTAGTGAATTATTGAAAATTGGATGTAACCTTGCTTTCTTTGGGGAATTTGATGCTTGGTATCCAGTATGGGCATGTTGTTTGGATGGATACAAAGATATGCTAACTCTATAGCTAGAGGAGTTAATTGGGAAAACTTATAGTGGAGGTCTACCCCAACCGAGGGTAGTGTCGGAGGGTGAGGGAGATTGTGTATTGAATATGACGCTTGTTTGGATAAAAAAACATCTCTGCCTAGTAAAATCTATACCTCCCATATCTCATCTCTTTACTTGCATGAACAAAGCTACTTGATCAGTTACAACAAAAAATGGTAGGTCTTGGTGCCTTCTTGGGAAAAATATAATAAATGATTTTTTTGGCAAAAGATTAACCCCAAAACAAAGTGTAGAAAAATGCATTACCAAAAAGGTTAGAAGGCTTTGTGCACTGTACTCGTGAAATGTCCTTGCACTAAATAAATTGCGTATGGCATCATCCTGCAACCATAAGCACTAATGTATCAAAAGAGTGAAATACACAAGGAAATAAGTATTAACTACAATACATGGCCAAGTGGTGTTCATTTCATCCAAAAAAGGAAAAAACAAAGGAAAACAGAAAGCAACAGAAAACAAACATCATAAAAGAAAAAGAACAATACAAGTTGAGAGAAAATCAAAATCCACACCTGAGTGTTGAAAAAAATAGTTGCCAAATCATTGTATTCACTATCCCTTTTGCAGTAAAACTGAAGATAACATTGAAAAATGTCAAGAACAACACTTCTATGCATAAACATTAAGAATGAGATTAGACCATAAAAAGTAGAGTTTAGTAACTTTATCACCACGGATCAACATGATAACTTGTAAAACTGAATTTCTAAATTTAACAAGGTTCAATGATCTCATGTATTCATGCTATGGAAATGTAGACAGTGCAATATTAATAATGTAGAACCAAAAATATAATAAGACGACCAAGTTAAGCACATAAAAATGTTGCTAGATCCAGAAGATAGTCAAGATATGACTTTTCCCAAATTAAAAAAAAAATGTATAATGGAAATTTCAATTAGCCAAGGTAAAGTGGTTTTTTGATAACTTATTTTTCGTTTCATTAAAAATTAAAAAAAAAAAACTAAGCTATACATTGTTATGATACAACATCAGAATCTAACACATATCATGTATGGGGAATCAGACTCAACAAAATTGAAAAGTAGGTCTTTGGAACTTAGTTGAAATGCTTTAATTTTTACAATTTATTTCTTAGAATATTTTTATTATATAACTAAAAAAAAGTGATAAAATAGAGAACAAATTAAACCTGTAAGTTTAAATCAATGAAAACAACTCTGAACAATTAAATAACTTATAATATTAAATTGGTAAAGTATTATGAACTTATAACAGATGTTAGGGGTGGTACCCTTACTGACTTATATATTAGGGTGTTTAAAAGAAAAGGAGATTTACAAGAATACCCTTGATTACAACTTAACAGGGAAAATACAATATAATTGGCCCACTAGCAGCCTAATAACAGTCCTAACAACACTCCCCTCAAGTTGGGCTGTATATATCCATCATTCCCAACTTGGTGCATATGTCAATATGTCGGGCACTTTAAAAACCCTTGGTGAAAATGTCACCTAACTGATCCACAAAATTTACATAAGGAATGCAGACTTCGCTGGCTTCAAGTTTCTCACGAATGAAATGTTCATCAACTTCGATATGTTTTGTTTTCTCATGCATCACAGAATTGTGGGCTATATTAATTGCTGCCTTGTTGTTACAATACAATGACATTGGGCTGTGGACTTTAACTCCCAACTCCTTTAACATATTCTTCAACCACAGCATTTCTGCAATTCTATGTGCAATGGCCCTATACTCAGCTTCTGCACTTGACCTAGTAACCACCATTTGTTTCTTACATAGTTTTCAAGGCGCCAATGCGAGGCAAGGTATCAGGGGGGCACCTTGTCACCTAGTCAGCTAGGTGGGCGCCTAGGCGATGGATTTTTTTATATAGAAAACATAGATCCTAGGGTAGTTCCCTAGGTACCATAGCCATATTTCCTTAATAATTATTCATAATTCTCATAAGAAAAGTATAGAGTTCATGTTAAAGTGTAGAAAATCAACATATTCATGAGAAGAAAAAAAAGAAGGTAAAGAAAATTCAAAAAATATAAGGGCTGAACCCTTATTTTTGTTATAGGAAAAGAAGAAAAGAAAAAGTAGTAGAAAATGTGCTGATTAGACAAAATTTTAAGTTCTTCCTTACTTGGTTCAGGTTTTAAAGTCTTTGAGGGTTCAATACAGCATTTAGCCATGTTTGTATTGATTAAATACTAACAAATAAGAAAATAATAAAAACAAATTAGTATATAAACATACAGTGAATATTTTAGTTTAATAGTGCCTATTTTATAATTATAATGTCAAAAAATAAAGAATAAAAAAGTATTTTACAAGACATAGTACAAAACTGCTTGGCGATTAAGCGAGGTGAGCCTCAAAAGACGCCTTGTCACCTAGGCATCTCCTAGGCGTCGCCTTGACAACTATGGGTTTTTACTTCTCCAAGTTACCAAATTACCCCCAACAAAGGTACAATAACCTGTGGTAGATCTGTCATCAACTGAGCTTGCCCAATCATCATAAATGAAGATTTTGGTTCAGTATTTATCAGTTCCCTCTCAAGTGGTTGATCCATTTTGGGCTAAGATTTTACATCTTGTGTTGCCCTAGGCTACTCTTTCAGCCCCTAATTTTTGGTGAAGATCTGATTTGTCTTTCTAGTGGTTTTGATCCCTTCTCTTGTTTGATTCATCTGAGAACTTTCCTTTTTTGGACTATCAAAGGTTTTATACTTATTTTCAGCCTTCCTATGATTGTTCTCTAAATTCTACCGCTTCCAATGGCTTCCAAAAGAGGTGATGTGCTTCCCATCAAGTTTGATGGCATTGATTATGCCTTATGGCAATTTCATTTTCAATTTTATGTTGAAGGGAAGGGTCTGGGGGTATATTTATTGAACCACCACTAAGCCTGAAGAAACAGATGTAAAGGGGCTGCAACCCTAGAGGATTAATAATGCTTAGATTGATTCCTGGATTCTCTGAATTCTCAATTCGGTTACAACAAAATTTTCCGTCTCTATGAAAGCAGTCTTGGGACAACCAAGAAGATTTATGATTATTTGAAATGTTAGGATCGACAATACAAGGGTAGTTAAGTCTTTTGCCTATCTAATTAAGGTTGAATAGTCTGTTTTGTCTGAGTTTAAGTTGTGTGTCCCATACTTAATGAGGGACAACATTGCCTTTTGTAATCCAACAAATAGAATACATATACAAAGTGGGTCGGCTGGGAGGAGAGACTTTTCTTCTCCTAGACCAAACCCTTTCAGACCTAGAACTAAACTAGGGTTAATCGATCTATTCACATGGTATCAGAGCTCTATAACAAGTTCAGATCTGCCCAGAATTTTTTATCACCAATTTATCTAGGGTTTTGCAGATTTCTCAAGAATTCCTTGGAGATTAAGGGAAGGGCTGCAAAGGAGTGATCGTTTTTTTTTTCTTAGGAGGCCTTCATGCCTCCAGTTTGTGGTGCGGTGGCTGTTTGTGGTGATTTATAGGAAGCTCTCTAATCGATGGTACGAAGAGAGCAGGTTCGGGTGGTGCAGTGTTCAGTTGAGTACAGGTCTGGTTTGTAGTGTGCAGTATAGGTGTTATAGTGTGATTTGATGGTTGATTGGCTGCAGATCCAGTACTAGGTGTGTGGTGTGCATTTAGAGGGTTTTGTGATGTTGAAAGTGGAGGATAACAAAGTGAATTAGCCATGTGAGTGAAGAAAAAAAAATTCAGATATGGGAGATAGTAGTGAACACAAGTCTAGTGTTATGGTTCCCCCTGATTACCTGAATGTTCAAATGACCTCTAACAAATTAAATGATGAGAACTATGTGCCATGGGCTAAATTTGTGGAAGTGTTTTTAAGAGCCAAGAAAAAAGGTGAAACATGTGAGAGGAGAAACCCTTTTCTGATTCTCTAGGGTTTAGTGATCAGGAATAGAAGGATGCACAGATTATGACCTGGTTGTGGAATAGCATGGAACCTAAAATTAGTGTGAATTTTATGTTCTCGGATAAAACTAAGGAAATCTGGGACCATGCTAAGAAACTCTATTCCGGCCAAGATAATACCACTAGAGTGTATCAACTTTACCAAGAGTACTTTAACCTGAAGCAGGGTAATCAAAGCTTGGAAGAATATTATGCAAGCATGAGAAACCTCCGTAATGAGCTTAATGTGTATCATTCTCTGATTCCGGATGTTCAAGTTTAGAAACAACAGCAAGAGAAACTTGATGTGACAAGGTTTCTAGTGGGTTTAAAGGCTGAATATGAACCTGTTCGAGCACAAATATTGGGTGGGTCTGCTCTCCCCTCTCTTGAGGAAGTGTTTGCTTGTCTTTGGAGGATTTCTATTGATCCTACAGAATCTTCCTCTCTCTTGGATGGGTCTGGTTTTGTGGTAACAAGAGGAGGAGGTCGTGGAAATAGAGGTGGTGGAGGTGGTTGTGGATTTCCAAGGAACAGAGGTGGTCCTATGTGTAACTGTACTGGTGGCTGTAGTGGAGGCTGAGAGTCAGGGGGAGTTTGTGGTAGAGGAAGAAGTATTGGACCTAAGAAATGCACATACTGTGGATTAAAGGGACATACTATTAATTTCTGTTATGATTTACATAGTCCACCCAACACTTGGGCTAATCATGTTGTGACTAGTAGCAGTGGTACAGTTAGTGAGAACCAGTAAACTGATCAGACACCCTCCACATCTATTAGTGCATCTGGGAAGGAAATGGCGAGTGTTCCCACGTGAGGTATATGAGAAGTTTCTCCAGACATCTTCTCAATAGAACACAACTACTCTTGCCTATTCAGATATGGCTTGCTTAGCTTCCAAATCCTCACACTGGATCATTGGCTTTGGAGCCTCAGATCATATGTCTGGGACACTAGATATGTTTTCTTCACTTTCTCCATCTTCTACTTCTCAAACAATTGCCCTTGCTAATGGTTCTACCTCTCCCATCCGCAGTGTTGGTGATGTTGATCTGACCTCCTTATCCTTATCCTTTGTTTTATATGTATCCAAGTTCCCTTTTAATCTTATGTTTGTTAGTAGATTAACCAAGTCAATTGTTTTATAACCTCTTATCCCTTTTCTTGTGTGTTTTAGGATCTCAAGACGGGGATGAAGATTGGTGGAGGGCATGAGGCAGGTGGATTGTATTATCTTGATGGTGGTGGCCCGAAAGTAGCTTTTCAGTCATCTTTTACTCCTTTCTAGTGGCACTACAGACTTGGTCATCCATCACTCAAGGCTCTGAAGTTGTTGGTTTCATCCTTAAGTTGTCTTCCATTGTTGGATTGTGAGTCATGTCAGCTTGGGAAATACCATAGAGTCTCTTTTAGTCCAAAAGTTGATAGTTGTGTTTTGAGTCCTTTTTCTTTAGTCCATTCAGATGTTTGGTGTCCAAACAAAGTAGTGTCATACAATGGTTATAAGTATTTTGTAATTTTTGTTGATGACTTTTCAAGGATGACATGGCTCTATCTTATGAAAGATCGAAGTGACTTGTTCTCTATTTTTCAAAAATTTTATGCTTAAATACGTACCCAATTTGGAGTTCATATTAAAATTCTTCGCTCAGATAGTACAAAAG